AAAAAAAAAAAAAAAAAAAAAAAACCTACCTACCTAGATAGACGGATAGACGGACAGACTTTAGAAGAGAGAGAGAGAGAAGAAGAAAACTTTAGGGCTAGACGCTCCCGGTGCGTCTTACGACAAGAGTGCGGGTGACTCCCTGTCCCCGCGAGAGTGTGTGCCTGCGTTTGTGGACGGTCGCCGGCTGGGTCGCGGAAGATTGCGCAAGTGTTCCCGTGACCTAGCCGCAAGGCGACATGGAGGACTTGACTTGAGGGGTTTCAGTGGGTATGGCTCAACGACTTTACGCGAGACCCACACTCCAAGCAATTGCGATGTTGCCACGTTAACAGCACAGTATGGCAACGCGGAGTTAAGATATCGCATATTGTCGTAAGACGGTTTAGAAAGTAAAGCGCGAAACTTGTACCACATCTATCGCTCGTGTTGTCCGTTCAAATATATGTTATTCACAAATGTGGGATCGATGGGACTTTTCAGGGTGCACAAAAAAAAAAAAAACCCTTGAAAATTTTATTTCTTATACTATTTTTTTTAATATTTTCAGGAAATTGTTAACTTGTGTAGCTTTGAATCCCTTTACAGTTACTTGTGACCCGTAACTTTCTGAAACCAGCTAAATCGGTCGTTTGAGGGAAATAAGAAATAATACACAGGACAAAGTTTCAACGGTTTATCTTTACTTGTATATCTTACACAATTATATTTACAAGTGAGACAGTAACAGTGTCAACGAACCAAAACTTACTTCAAGTCGAAACCACTGCTTAACGATATAAGGTGGAATGACACGAGCGCTGCGCTCCACCGCCGCACCACTACGTCGCCGCGCCGCCACACTACGCCCACACGGCTAATCCGCAACAACGTATCCTTTCACAAATTATATCTTTAGGCGGAATGAGCAATATTCACAACATTAAGCTATTCACTGTCGACGGTGCCACGTCATTATCGGACGGAAATGGTGACGCCGGCAATCTTTGGCAAACCTTTGCCGAGCGCACTACCAGCACCTGGCACCTGGCACAGCAATAACAACTAAATACCTGTACGTGTACATTTATAGTTCAGTGACATTGATCATCATTTTATTTTTGTTTAAAGAAAAAAAAAGGTATAAAATTAATGTACATTTTTTTAAACAACAAAGCAACGTTTTTAGGCATAATATTACATGAAAGTTTCTAAGACGTCCTGCTCGGCTGGGAGCGCGGCCGCGAGTGTCGAGTGTCGGCGGGTGACGGCGGGTGGCGG